ATGTGTGAGGCCTGTTGGGATGCTTTTTCTACACCTTGGGCATCAGGTTGAAAATTAAAATAAAGTGTTAATTTTTTAACATTAATGTTCCCACACAAAATGCACTTAAGCTTTTGTTCTCATTTATTAGACTCATTCGACACCATCTAAGCAACCAACAGCACTCCTGCTGTAGCCTACAATTCAAACACTTATCCAGAAGCACTTGCAAATGCGTAATAAAATAGTTTTAAATAAAAAAACATTGTGCATTATAAAATACCTTAGCTTATCTCTATTAACTTGAATTGTAGTCTAGCTTGCCAGTCTGTAATATCAGCTAATTTTCATGACACAGAACATTTATGTGCTTAAAACTCAAAATAAACAAAATTAACTGCTTTCTGAGACAAGGTGGCTTAGCCACGATGCTGACTGCAGCAGCCATATTGCGGGGATATAGTGCCATTCCTCCCTCAACTCCACTGTCCTATTCTTCCCAAGCTACATTGCCCAAAGCAAACGAAGTTCAGTGACTAAAGTACAGTGCTGATGCATATTTTTGGAGAAAAATTAATATTAGCACCCATAAAGTGGTTTAATTAAGACCTCTACAATTCAGATAACAGAAACTTACTTTGGGCAAGTAAAAATAAAAACGATTTTCAGTTAGAAAAAGCTCCATCCACCGAAGACACCGGCCATTACAGCCAGGCAATAGCTATGTTAGCACCATCTTGTGAATTGCTGGCTAAGGTGTTTGAAGTACTGACAAAAAAATAGACTACCTGTCTCATTCCTCCAATGCTCCCAAACTTCCTAGCTTTCCCCTATTATGGGGGAAAGGGACAAGGCCTTCTCTATCAACTTCAGGCATCTTTGCATAAAGTTTTTTTTGTATTTCAGAATGCACTTGCATGCTTTTCACATTTCATTCATGTAATGATTGAAATGATAAAGATAGTCGTGAAAGTGGTTTGATCTCTTGTAGTTGGCTAACAGAAGGGTGACCATTCAAAACCAGTAATCATAACACTATACGATTACAAAGATAAGGTAGCTGTCTTTAGAAACTGCAAAAAATTGAAAGGAACTGTGATAAAAAGGAAGCTGCTTTGGCATTTTGCTAAAAATTATAAGCTGATGATGGGAAGATAAATCTTGTTTGTGATAAACTGCACATTGATAATGCTGTCTATACATGGGATATGCACTCAAATGTTCGGGTCAGAATCGACAAGTCTGCAAACAGCGTCTCATCCCGTTACAACTATTGTCCGGGGTCAAATTTTACATTGTTAAATGGGAATGCATGAAGTGATCTGAATCTGATTGTGTTAATGGAGACTTGGCTGCAGGGTGACGTTAATGGTGCAGATGTATTTCCTGGCTCATACAATGTGCTTCAATATGATAGAACGAGAGGCAGAAGCATTGTATTACTGATTAAGAAACCATTGAAACATATGCAGCTACCTTGTATCGATGGAACGAAAAACGTGTGGTGCAAGTTATTTATGAATGAAACTGCCTTAATTGTTGCCATTATAGAGCACCAGTAAGCTTGAGGGATTTCTTTGAAAAACTTGGTGATTACTAGTATCAAGTTGCTAATGCTAGGTGTAGGCTTATTATCACTATGGGCTCAATTTGTCGGCATTGATTGGGATTCTCCCACTGTAGGAATTACTGATAGGCATGCTGCTAATGATATGCTAGAAACATATGATTTGATGCAGGTAGTCAGTGAACCAACAAGAATACAAGGTCAATCCTGAGCATTACTACTTCTCTTATTCCTATCGCAAGATACTTTTCGTTGCAGAATTAATTTGTAAGAAGGGATTTCTTTTCACAGGCAGGTAGGTCACAGCATCACTAGGTATTAATGGATCGTGCTGACAAGAAAACCAAAACGTTCAATTTTATGATTTCAATAATGTGGATGACACTTCATTCTCGACCACTTGGAAATAGCCTTCTGTACTCCGCCTGGCACAAACAATGTAGATGCATTGTGGAAGTATTTTATGGCAGTCGTGGAAAAATGTTTATCATTTTTCGATCCAACGAAGCTGAAACACTTGTGGAAATATATATCCACTTGAAATGGCAACTACGACATGCCAGGTGAAAGATCCTAAGCAATCCTGAGATCATTGCCAATATTAGTACAATTGTTCAGGCAGAATTAAAAGCATCTAAAAAGCATTTCCTATCTGAAACATTGAAAGAGTGTAAAAAAAGTTTACCCCAAAAGTTTTGGAGATACTATTCGTCAGGCTCCAATTCAAATATATAGGCAGTGTTACTGTAAAGAAAAATAGTGTAATGATTCGATCTTTGGTGCGCAAGAATGTAATTATTTTAACTCGGTATTTACCTGAAATGTAATTGATTCACCTCCTTTTTTATGGGGAACAAACAAAATATGATGAGCCTATAGGTAATTATTTTTCAAGAGGGTATTTTGTCTTCGTTGTGAAAATTGGGCTCTAAGAAGTCAGCAGGTCCCGAAATGTTGCCGAATAAATTCTTCAGACGACACACCAGTGAAGGAATTTCGCAATATTTGTTCCGAATATTTAGTGTATCACTGCAGGAAGGAAAGATCTCAATGAACTGGCTGGTTTCCAGTGTATTGCCCGTATTAAAACCTGGAGACAAACTCAATGTTGCTAATTACTGCCCAATCTGTGTCTTATGCACCACGTGTAAAATATTAGAGTATATCATTACTAAACAATTCGTGCTGTGTATACCGAATATCATGAACTCTTTTACAAACATCAACATGGCTTTCACAAACGCCTGTGAACTGTAACCCAGCTTTTTGAAACAGTATACACATTTGCATCTGCACTTTTATTCTAGACAGCGAACACACATGATCACGATAGATTTGTCAAAGGCATTTGACACCCTTTGTCATAGCAAAACTAAAAGTAAAAATGCACGAGCATGGTGTTGTTGTGGAGATTGTCAAATGAGTCATTACCTATTTGTATAACAAGGCACAATTTGTAGAAATCACTAGAGCGTGGTCACATTGCCTGTTGCGTCCGGAGTACCACAGAGATCGATGTTGGTTCCAATTTTATTCCTGTTGTGTATCAATGATATTGCAAAAGCTGTGCACTCTTCGTTAAAGTGAGATTGTTCTCGGATGACTGTGCATTATATATACTCATGTAAAAAGCATTGCTGACCAGGTCTCTGTCAATGATGCTTTGTGTTTTATTGACAAGTGGTGTGAGAAATGAGATATGAAAATTAATTTCGACAAGACTACACGCATTACGGTATCAAAAAAAAAGCTCCATTCACATAGATGTTTAAAATAAAAAAATGAAGAAGTTAAGTGAATAGTCAAGTCAAATATCTCTGCGTTGCAATCACTGTGAATCTGACCTGGAACAAGCGTATTGAAAATGTTTGTGGTTTGGCTGATCGTCAACCAGGTCTCCTGCGGCGGAAGCTATGAGATGCTTTGCTTGAGACAAAGCTGATGGCTTACAAAACAGTAGTATGCCCAACCTTAGAATCTGTCAGCATTCTATGGGATCCAGGCAGTCAAAAGCGTGTTGATGAACTAGGAAGGATCTAGTGAATGGCAGCCAGGTTTATTTATTCATGCTACCACAGGACGCAATTGACCGTATTACTTCACCGACCTAACCTTCAGAAGCTGCTTACATGCAGACAAATTGCATGCTTAAAGTTTCTCTACCAACTCCATAACAAAACAATAAACATAGGTCCAACTTTGTACTTGTACCCCTCAGCCCGAGTGTCGCCGTGTATCAATCATCCATATGTCCATATGCTATTTTACCCTAAGCCACGAGAATGGATGCGTTTAAGTTTTCCTTTCTGCCTCGTACAAATAATGAGTGGAACAAGCTTAATGCCTGTGTGTTTGTTGATTGAGAGTCCGCTGAAGTTTTTCAGTATTGTTTGGAACTGATTTGTACCTAACATTGTGTTTAATACCGTATATTGTGTTTCCCACCTTTGTAACAGGCCGTGAAGGCTTATAGTATTGTCAGTAAATGAATAAATAAATGAGTAAATAAAACAATAAAAAAAAGGTGTCATGTGGCACCAACTTGTATAATTATGAGACAGAACGTATCATCGTGGCTGTATAAAACTTCACAATGTTAAAAAAAAACTTAACATCATTAACTGACCCTTTGTTATTGTTTCTCTGAGCAACTTCAGCCCCATTCCGTTATTGTCGTAATGTTTCTGCAATGAAATGACAATTGACACATCTGGAATCAAAGGGTTTTGTGCGAGATGAGTTATGATTAGGAACTGCTCATGGATGGACTGATTGTGCTAAATGTTAGTACATGTCTAATTTTAAAGCATCACGAATTAAATTGCATGCTTTTTTTTGAGTGAAGTAGATGGACAAGGTTATTGAAAATTCTTAGACAAAAATGATCTTTGCACCAACGAATAACTCGTATGAAGACTCGCGATAGGTCTGGGGTGCTATTCTGGACATTGTCTAATTCCCCCATATTGTCAAATTTTGCAATGGCGGCATTTTAAGCCAATCAGAGAGGTCGTAGCAGCTCATTTGGCCAATTAGCATCGATCAATGGCAGAATCTGACAACATGGTGGAATTCAGAATCATAGAGAATCATTCCTTCCTCCATGCCCTGTAAGGTCACGGGGAAGCTACGTGGCGTTGTCTCACATTTATCTGTATTTTACACCATTGAGTGTTGTTTATAAATTTTTCATTACTTCGAGAGCTTGAGCGCGTATAAAATATCTCAGAAACAATTGACGAAGAAAGTAATAATGAGAGTTTATTTATTTAACTTTATATTAGCCACCAAGCCATTGTGCCTGACGATAGTTATAGCGCGAGAACAAAACGACGACACAGAGACAAGAAGGACACGAAGGACACTTATTTCTTGTCTCTGTGTCGTCATTCTGTTCTCGCGCTATAACTATTGTCATGTCATACCAACTAGTCCAAGCTGCCACACTTCTACGTTGTGTCTGGCCGCGTCTGAAGAAGCGACTTTTCCGCTTTGCAACCATGTGCCACCGTCATGGCGGCGGCCACGGATGGGGTAGTGTACGATACCCTTAACTTGTAAGTTATTTAATTTTACAGCCTTCTTCTTGCCTCGTGTGTGTAGCTACCAGATCAGGGAGTATGCGCAAAGCGATGTTATGTTGTTTTCAGTATTGATGTTGCAGCACTAGTTGCCACAATATGCTGTGGTACTAGACACTTGCCGTATTACGCTGCGATATTAGCTGAACGAAAGACGTAAATTTTAGATGGATCGTTTTGTTCCGTTTTTATTTTTCCAAATATATACTTACGCTTCGTTTTTTTCTCGCTTGCTGGCTGTCGTGGCGCTGTAACGCTGCTGAAGTAGTTCCGTCACGTTTGACTCGGCGAACTGGGTGGCTACCGAACATTTATCATTATCATTTTTTTTTTTTTTTTTGCTGAGTGATAGTCAGCTGAATACCTGCAAAGTAGCGCAGTGCGGAATTCGCGTTACGTATTGCGATTGTCATGTCGATATTACTACGCATTTGTGACCGTTCTGTTTGGGCCAGTTGAGGTGAATTTAGATAAACGAAACAGAAATCACTTCTTTGTAGCCACGATGTCTGAGGTGTACGAAGAATGCGCTTTGTGAGTATTATTGCTATTGTTGGGGGAAGAAGCACGCAAACGTACTTTACACAGTGTGAATGTGAATTGTTTTATATTGCGATTATTTCTTCGCGCGCGCTCAGCCCCAGGTGGTACTTGTCACTGCAATTATATTTGCTAGTGTAAGAACAAACTGGTGTTTCTGTAGCTGTGAGTATTGCTCAGTCAACTGTTTTCAAATATGGTACCATTTTCCGAAGCGCGGCGGGTGTTTCACTGTTCACCGTCGCCGCTAAGTTTTTTTTTTTTTCTCCGCATGAGCATTGTGCTCAGTACTGCAGGTGTTCTAGAGTTTGTGGCTTAGTAACTACTTTGGCCCGAATGAATAAATGTCTTTATATATCACATTTCAACTTAAACCACACTGATTTTAATGCGCACTCATCTTGTGTAAACTCGTCCTCGGCGAGAAACAGAAAGATTGTTTGAATTATCTGAAGGGGAAAATGAATTTGGCATTAGATTGGCATCTCTGCTTGATTCAGCTATACCTTGGCATGGTGGCATCTACCTGAAACTTGAAGTTGGCTGTTTGAACAATATTATCAAATTACTATGCCAAGCAAGACGCATAAGAAAACGAAGGAAAAAGCGTCTGCTTAAAAGGAAATTCTCTGCAAAAACTGTGTCTACATACAGAAGAAAGTGTGAAAAACCTGTGGAAATGTGTGAGAGCAGGCACAAAAAAAAAGGGGGGGGGGCGAGGGCGAGAGATAGCATGTGCTCTAATAAATGACGCAAGCTATGCTGAGATCACATGAAGTCCTTGGTGCTCCAGCTCAAGCCGTGCTCACACCTATTTTTCACGCTGCTTTCGGATGTAACCTTCAGCAGATTTTTCAACACCATTAGGTGTATCACAGCATTGCATACACTTCCAATCTGGCAGGCTCATTTGGTTCTACTGGCTTCCTTTGCCAAAGCACATTAAGAACAATGCAAACAAGCTGTTCTTGCAAGATCGGATGATCCTACGTACAGTACCGTCATGGATCCATCAGCAAAGCTGCACACTTGCTGCTTTCATTCCTCAGAACTGTTATACTTATGGCACATGGCACAAAAAGTGACATTCAGTGAAGCCATTAAGTTGCTGAATGGCTTTTGCCACACGTAAAAATTTATTGGCATTTCGCTTAGTGATGTCTATAACAGTAACTTATGAAATGAATGCTTTTATGGTAATAATGAAACATAAACATGCATTTTAACAATCTGCATTCAGAAACAGGAAAATGTAGAAGTGAGTAAACTATGGCACTATTAGCTTGAGTTTTTACCTCTCTTACAACATTGCAACTGGCCACAGGAACTCCGACCATTGCATGTTGAATCCGAAGCCTAGAATCCGTTTTGGCGCCTGTCATGTTGAAGCCGTTGCAATTATTAAGTGAATTTTGGTATAGTGCAACTGGGAAATAATATGCTATGTATTGAACATTTTGTATAAAATATTTTTGACATGATAGATGCTGTTTCGAACCTTTTATGTTCACTTTACTGAGCAAGCCTTGACATAGAGAGTTTGCATTTTTTTAATTGAACTAGTTCTAGTTAGAGCATTAGATCATGAATGACAATAAGGCAGATGTCATTTTATTTGCTCATGTGGCACCATGCTAATGGCATTAAATTTCAAATCATTAAGAAGCTAATGCCATTTTCTGTGCCTGTGTGTCATGGGTGTCTTTGCTCAAATATGCATGCACAACTTCTAGCATTTCGTGTGAATCCCATAACAGATCAGAGTTAGGTAGAAGTGTCACGGCTGCTTGGCCGTGTTACTTTAAAAAAAAGATAACATCTTCTACGCATTCACATCATTTCACCACGAAGCAGCCGTACTATATACAAATGTATTCCATCTCACCATCCCAGTCGAGTGCAGTGAATAGCTATGGGTTGTGTCAGTCCATTAGAGAACCAGCTGTATTCTTGAGGAAAAAGGAGGGCTATCTACATGTGTGTTATTCATCCTTCCATGAAGATTCCAATTAGTTGGTGTAGTGTCACTGGTGCACAATCTTCTAGATGCTTGGTGTGACCCACTGCATGGAGTTCAAGTATGATTTGCTGCAATGGTTTCTGAATCTACTGTGTGGTCAGCTTAGTTGGCATTGTCTGCATGTCTGGAGAACCTTTTGGCAAGACAGAGTGCTAGCTGTGACTGATTGAAACTCGCAGGCTGAGAGGCTTCTATCATACGGAAACCCGATTTTCTGTTTGGCATTGCTTGCTGCTTCTAGCTCATTTCTACATCGTTGTCAGTGTTAGCATGCACTTTTGTGCGGTCTATGTCGAGAACTGTATCAATTTTGCCGAGCAGCAGCTCAACCGGGCCATCTATGTCTACACATGTAGTGATGTGAAACCACCATTCCTGAAAAACGGTTTATTATTGTTGGTAGCTTGTCAGCCCTTGCACACTTACTTGAGCATGAAGAGCCTTTTTAGCGGGATAGTGTCCGTAACCTAACCACTAGCAAAGTATTCCTATCAAATCATCTGGTTTGACATTTCTGTTAACTGTCCACCTTGGTGAAACAGTGGCTATGGTGCTCGGCTGCTTACCCAAAGGTTGTAGGTTCGATCCCGGCGGTGGCGGTCACATTTCGATGAAGGCGAAATGGTAGAGGCCTATGTAGTGTGTGGTGTCAGTGCACATTAGAGAACACCAGATAGTCAAGTTTTCCATAGCCCTCTGCTACGGCATCTATCATCATATGTAGGTGTTGGGACATAAAACTCCAGTTATTATTATTATTATTATTATTATTATTATTATTATTATTATTATTATTATTACATTTTTGTTAAAGTGTGAAATAACAAGCTTTCTTTATAAAAAGAGCACGGGTGCCTTGTCGCATTTTATTTCAGCAAACTAAAAGCCATGCTTCACAGTCTACAATTGACCCTACAATTCTCAGTTGATCAAATGTGTGGTTGTCTCATCTAATGCTGGGCATATAGACACCTAGGAATATAAAGTTTGCAGTACATTCCATATCTCATATCATATTAGGCTTACAGAAATATGTCACAGGTGGCACCTATGCCACCTGTGACATATGCCCGATGACAAAGAATTGACAAAGAATTGGACTATTTTCAGATGCGTGTCTGTAATTTGAAAACAGAGTAGGACACCCACTAAAAAAAATACCTAGTCAAGATTATATCCATCAATTCGTCTACAATGTATCACTTCAAGTAGACAACTGTGATGAATTGTTAACTGTACTGATTTGAATGCAGGCCTGTTATACAGACACTTTCGATAGCAATCAAGCCTAATATTGATCTACAGAGGAACCTTGGATTTCTCTATGAGAATGTTAATTCTTAATATTATATCTGCACTGTGATTTTTATTACATGTTAGGCAGATTTGCAAAGTGCTTTGCACCTGGTTATTTGTCCCTGGTGTGCTATAAGTCACCCAGTCTGATTTAGGTCATTGGACCATCTAGCAGCAATCGCTGTCATTTGTAGCCAAGCTACCCATGTGAAACCATTATACAATTCTCTTTGAGCCACATTGCATGCATCACACAGAAATGAGAACTTGCACCTTATCCGTTATCTAATTTTATAGATTGAAGTTAATTTTATGGTTACTACCTGTCACACACTTCGGGTGAGGCCCCGCCGATCCAACATCGACGTGCGGCAGACTCGCAGGCTTCCACTTTACGCTTCGGCCTGCGACGCCTGAAAGGCCTCGAAGTGGCACATTTCGAATTTATTTGCGGGTTGGTCGACCCGTGCGGGGTTGCACGTGTGGTGATGTGTGGGCCTGACCGACGCACTCATAGAGCAGACACGGAGTTTGATTACACATAAACAAGCATTTAATTGAAACAAGGGCAAATGCATGAGTTAACAAAAATAGCAGAGGAGGAGAACTGATACGCGCGATAGAAAGAACAGCTATATAACAAAATATGCGAAAAACAATACAAAAGATACAGACTAAAGACAAATATGCGGAATATTACTAAAGTAACAACAAGATGGAAATCAAAGGAGAGGGATACAAGAAAATAATTACAGAATGATCAGGGTAGCGCTTTTGAGTTTTTATGTGCGTCGCAGCGCACACAACTACACAGATTAAAAAAAAAGGCTGGTTAAAACAATTTAACAGTTTAAAAAAAAGTCACAATAAAAAGTTCCATACGGACCAGGCCAGCTCTTGGTGCACGTAGGGGAGTTGACGGGTGCCGCTGAAGGTCTCGCCGGGGTAGACGACGAGGGTGCCCGGAATTGCAGCCGTCTCAATACGTTGCACGGGTCACTTCATGCTCGCCGCCTACGCGAGACTCGCGACACCGACGACCGCACTTGTTGCTGGCTGTACGTCAACTGCTCTTCCGATGCAGTTCAAACCTCCTCAGGGGCGTACACGTGCTCCCGTC